TGCTATTTTTTTCCACTGCTGCTACTTAATTTGCAACTGTACCATCCTTTTCTTATTCTTTAATTGACCAGAGTATACGAATAATGACAATAATAGTAATAATAATAATAATAATAATAATAATATTTTCTTGGTAATGTTGCTACTGTTGTTGTTACTCCTTTTATGCTTATTTATTCATCCTTTTCTTGCTGCTGTTGTTTTTCCTATTCTTCACTTGACCAAAGTAGAGACTAACAATAGCAATAATAATAATCCTCTTCGTTTTTCCTTCTTGTCTTGTTTTCTTCCAATTGTTCGTCTTTTCCTTGTTGATGTTGTTTTTCTCATTTTTATTCTACTACTGCCTTTAAATTTTCATCATCAACATATTCTTCTTCTACTTATTCCTCTTCAACTTACCAAATTAGAGCCTAATAATGACGATACTAATCCTCCCTTTCTTCTTTTATCTCCTCATAAGCAGCATCATTGTCACCGTCACTGTACCATTTCACAGATTTATATTCCTTCGTTCGCCAAGCTTGCTGAGGTCCAAGTGATTGGCCACGGAAAATGCCTTCATTGGAGCAGAAGCTGGCAATGTAGTCCGGAGCTCTTTCGTCGTGTCTTCGTGAATGCTTTCTGTGAGGGGCATGGGCGGCCGAATCGCATTTCATCACTCGGACTTGAGTTGGCAACAACGAGGCTATTTGAGTGTTCCACAATGCCATCGCATTTCATTGAGCCTTGCCTTCCAAAATCCTTTTTCGCTGAGGCCGCAGTACCGGCTCGACCTGGCGGCACTCGTCTCACCGACAGCCCCAACGGGATTCGAACCGGTGACTTGTGCACCGTTGAATGGCTACAATCACGAAGAGCAGAAGCAACCTTTGAGGCGATCCATGCCGCTTCCAGAGCCCACTTCAACTGTGCAATCGTTTAGACGAGTCAAGCATGCGTTTTTATTAACAGCACCCGAACACACTACTTATATCCGACGTGAGTAGGACGTGAATGGCTGAGCTCAACATTCGAACCACCTGACGCGGCATTGAGTGCCCAAGTGGGAATGCACGAATGAGTGGAATGCGTGTGCCGAATGCCGAAGGAGATCGCCTCGAGGTCAACATCAATCGAAAGGTTTCCCTACCAGCAGAACCACAGCCGCCTTAGTTACAGAAAAGTTTTTCATCAAACAATTGCATGCGAACTCAACAGATGCAAATCAAAGAATTGTCCAAAACAACTTTTCCTCTTGTACCCTACAATTCCTGTACAAATCGGTCAGCTTTTATGCATTCGCTTAATTTCGAGTGTTGCCATTCTTCAGCCGGCCAATTGATACACCTCCCCTAACATTAAGTCTCCCGCACCCTCCCTCCGATCAATACTCGCGTATGGTGTACTCAGAAGCAGCGATCTCAACGACAGTAACATCTCTCCTCCACTCGTCAACTCCAACTGGTACATATCAAGTTTGGCTACGAATGGCAACTGGATTTCGATGAATCTGTTGAGGTTACATTCTTGCAAAGACTTTCCATTTGTATGAGACTGCATGAAGAAAAGATTTGAAGGTCGATCCCACCGGAAGACCAGTTTGAAAGGCAACTGGATTGTCAGCAACTCGTGAATTGGTCGCTCCGGAAACCGGAGCACGATGGTCGCAAGTCTTCTTGCCAAATCGATGGTCACGTAGTTTCAGCCAATTCATGTCAATTCCAGCTGAATTTCGTGCAACGCGATGAAAGATTGGTGGTGGACTTTTTCCATTTCCATTGCATTTCACGGGGCATTGCTTTCCCCCAAGTTTTCCTCATCCGGCCACCAGCGGACTGCAGTTTCTACCTCGTCTCGGTCTCATCAACAGCCCTGGCGGGAGTGGAACCATGACGACAGTGCACCATGTCAGCTTGCCACGGTAACCACTCGTCCACATTGCCACGAGGCCCCTTGGGCCACAGGGCAGCTGGCAATGTCAGGCAGGGCCAAGCCTTTTCGCATTGCCTATTCTTGCGTACGATTGTCGATGAAACAAACGTATTTTTGACATGACAATCGACTAGACTACTTATTTTTCGACTGTAAGTAGCGTTTCGAGGCTGCCAGTCGCGCTGGGGCAAGCTCGAAACTGCAGGACAGTTCGGCTTGGCTGAGAGCAGCTTTTGCCAAAGCGAGGCTGTGTGAAATCCAAACGAAATAGGACATTGTTGTCATGGTAGCCTAATTGTATACAAGAAAGGCCTATACACCTGATTGTGGGAGATTCAGCTGACAGACTTTCATCGCCGCTTATGCAAGATCTTCTGGACGTCCCGAATTCCGCTTTCGGAAACGGCAATCCTTCATCAGTTTCCGAGGCGACTGTCTCCCCACCTCTCTTTTAAAAGGTCTTAGAAACGCATTTTTCAGCTCGACGCTGCGTGTGCGTGCGTGGGCAACAGGCGGGCAGTCGTCACGGCGGCAACAACCGAATAGCGTGTTCCTCGGTGGATGGGGCTACGGGAGCGGCAGGGGTCTGTGTGAGTGTGTGAGTGTGTGAGTGCGTGAATGCGTGATGATGGCAAACAGACAAAAGTCGCGACTCACCCTCGTCGTTGCGGAGTCCGGCGCCGTTTCAGCTCGACAGTCCAGCAGGCCAGGCACCTCTTGAGCCGGCCGGTTCGGCTCGACTTGTCTCACTAGGTCGTTGGGCGAGATGCGCGGTCACTCGGTCGGCAGGGCGCCTAGAAACTGTCCGACTCTTCTGCCAACTGCCTTGTGTCCACTTGGCGACGACCGATTCTCATCGGCCTCAAATAGCACTACCGTTTCGGTGAAAGTTTACAGCCAAACTCAACTCTGGCATATGCTTTTTTCCTCTTCTCGTTCACCTCAATTTGCTCTAACCCGCCCTCCCTCCCTTTATCTCTCTCTCTCTCTCTCTCTCTCTCTCTCTTTCAGGCATGCAGTTCATTTCAGCTTTGGCTTTGTCCCTTGCGTCGAGAAGAGCGTCTTTTCGCCTCTCTTCTGTCTGTCTGTCTGTCTGTCTGTCTGGTTGCACCACTTGGCAGGTTGAGGCGTCGGTGTCAACACATCCAAAGCACCGGCCCCGCGTCTCTGTGTCTGTCCGCTCGGCTGTGGCCGGACCGTTTTGCCTTTTTGCGCACGCCTCCGCTGACTGCCGACCCGGTCGCTCCGTCTGTCTATCGACACGAGTGCGAAGGCTGCTGTTCCTCTCGCCGTCTGGCCGGGCGCGACGGTCGCGGGCCCTTTGCTGTCGGCCGAGCGGGTGGGTGGGCCTGTCGGCGACTCCGGCCCGGCCTCTTGGCAGGGGCGGACAGGTGAGCTGTGGCCGGGGCGAAATGGACACGCCGGCCAACGGGCAACGGGCGTCGAGCGATGGCCAACCAGACGGCCGGCAGGTCCGAGGCGACGTCGACCGCGGCGGCCAATCAGACGAGCCGCGACGCTCATTTCACTCGCCAGCCCACGCCCGACGCGCCGGATAGACACACTCGAGTCGACAGACGCGCAGACACACAGGCCCGCAGGCAGGCCGCCGACTAGCCGGT